TTCTTTGTTTCGTATAACACGGATTCGCATAACATGGTAATTTTATGAACATAACTATCGTGTTATATGGGGTTACCTGTATTACTGTCCGATATAATGATATATGCTGCCTGTAGCTGTTTATCAAGAAATTTTATAGAAGGAGAACAATTATTGTTAGCGGGACACGTCATTATGTGGTATTGTAACAAATGAGTGAGATCGTTCTATACATATTTGTGCCCTTTGTGTTAAAAAACATCAAGTTTGACTTTGTCCCATCAGGGCCGGATTTACAAGTAAAAAGCCTCGACTTTCAAGGGACCTAAAACATTTGTACAAAAAAGAAAATTGAAGTCAGATTTTGTAATAAGCATTTTTTTACAAACCAACAAAATATACTTCACTGTTTATTTTTTGTAGTATTTCATTAATTTTTATCTAAGAATTAACATAAGATCTTTTTTAACAAAATTGATAAAACCAATTTAAAAAAAAAAAGATTTTTAATAGAATGGGTATAAAAATTTAATTAAACTTAGTTATAAAACAGAAGACTAGTCAAACCTCACATCTTTTTCTTCCAATATCTGTATTAAATCAGAGTCATAGTCTGATTTAATTCTTTTCTTTTAATGATTGACTTCTAAAATTGTGAAGGGTTGGTAAGGGGCCTTACAGAGTTCAACTTAGGGCTTCGAAATGCTTAAATCCGGCCCTGTGTCCTACACAAAATTACTGGCATTTTAAACTTTAACAAAATGTTTTAAAATTGACAGCACAACTTGTTCATGAAAGCTGGATAATCGGGAAACTGCCAATTCTTAACAGTCTAATCCACTCTTTCAGAATTTGGAGCTCATAAATATAACCGATCAATTTCCGAATAATCATCTGTTTTTCCCGTTTTTCGTGTGGAATAGATGAAAACTTATATCAGGCTCTCGTAAGGCTTTTAAATTGCAATTTGGAACCAACAGTAAGTGTTGCTTTTTCTATCGCTTTTCATCTTTACTGCTGATAATACACAAGAATGAATCAAACGACCCAGATAGAATAGTTTTGTTTTTAAACACCAGAGGGCAAGCATCCTGTGAAAAATGCGAATAACATGGTAGATACGTTCCGTTCTTTATGAAATTGATGTTCTAAGAGTCCTTAAATACATTGAGCCAATCACAGCCCGGCATGTGTGAAGTTTACAGACTACGGCTGTTTGAAAGGTTTTCTTCCATAAAATTAATTGATTCCAGACTAATTCAACTCAACATTTCCAAAATACGTATAATTTTTTGGGAATAATCCATATAAACTATGCTATAAACAAAAAATTGTAGGATTACTTACCGAGTGTGCACCGAGTTCGACGACGCCATTGCTTAAGCTTGTTTTTGTCATGGAGCTTGTCATCGAACAGTGGCATGCCGTCATTAGAAGCAGTGGATGTGCTGCTTCCCTTGTATTTTCTAAAAAATAAATACATATTAATTTTAATTATATGAAAATCATCGCACAATATTTTATTATAACCGCATTATGTATCTTATTACAAATTTCTATACTACACGTGAAAAAAAAGATAAGATTGCTATTGTATATTCAAATATTAGTGATGGAGTAGCAGAGTGAAAACACTGTATTGTCAGCATCCAAAAAGTCAGGTTTGCGCATGCGCTTTACAGAGCACCAACTTCACTCGGTTTAACTGGTAGAAGCCTAGGACCTCGGGTGGCTGCTACACGTATAACGCATCCAATTCTATCCGGGACCGGTTCCGGGCTGTTAGCTGCCCGTCTGCTAGGTATTTGGCAGTCCTCACCCGATTACGTGAATCACGAGTAGATTTATAACTTAACCCAACCGAAAAGAATTTACCTGTATGTTTTTATGATAGTTTTCTGTATCGTTGACAGGAGTTTTAAAAAATCCGTTAAAATATTTGATATATTTATTCCGCTCTCCGATTTTATATTACTCGTGGATTTCAATGTTAAACCNATTTATAACTTAACCCAACCGAAAAGAATTTACCTGTATGTTTTTATGATAGTTTTCTGTATCGTTGACAGGAGTTTTAAAAAATCCGTTAAAATATTTGATATATTTATTCCGCTCTCCGATTTTATATTACTCGTGGATTTCAATGTTAAACCAGTGACACTACGATTTTGTATGTCCCATCTTTAAGGGGATGTAGAAAAAAACGTGTATAATTGTTGTATAATGTTAAAAAATTAACCGTTACTTCGACAGTGTCATTTACAACTAAATTTAATGAATGAGAGAGATGAACGAGGTACAGAAAAAGCTCTAGAATTTATTTCCTTAAATTTACGATTTATGTATTCGTTTGTCATAAAAATTTGTTTTTCCACTTTTTCCCGAGACTACAAATATTTGAGTACAAAGTAACTGGTGTCGACTTATTTTTACTTAAGAAATAGTTAAATAATTAAGTGATTAGGGAATTGGGGACATAAATAAAATTAAGCAAAACCCTGATGAAAGAGTTGAAATTTTACTTAAACAAAAGCCTAACTGAACCAATCTCTAGCCGAGTACAGTGGGACTGATTTCTTCTAAATATTAAATGTAATAAAGACAGAAATTTTTCCAGTTCAAGGAGAGTGACTGAAAGTTGTAAATTTTGGAAATTTCCGTGGACAACACCTGGTCCTAAAACGAATTAGTTAGAAAACAAACGACGGACAATCTATTAAGTTTAACATATTTAGACTTTTACAGCTATGGTGAGAAATGCTTAAAATTTACAAGAACCCTGTTGCGTCTTTTGAGGTATATTAGTGATGCAACAAAAGACGCATTTGAAATTGACCGGTATTGGCATCCTCTGGATTTGGCAGCCGCGTGCATGTACACACCGCACACCTAGCAGGACTGTCTCTGATTCCACTCGTAGGGAGCTATTTGACTAAGTGGTTAAGATGTAAAGAGTAAAGAATATTTTATGTTTTTTTATATACGTTTCATTACAAAGCTATATTTAATTATAATTTTCTTTAAAAGTATATTCATATAATTGAAGAATATTTCGTACCAGGTATGTACAGTACTGTACATCCACCACACATTTTATTTTACCAAGTAAGTTTTTATTATTTTATTTATAATTTTAGCCCTTATATCGTGGCTAGCGATTCAGAATGTTATTGCCATATTGAAAATTTATTTTAAAACAGTTTTGGCTCGAGATCATATAATGAAAAAGAAAACATTATTAAAATAGAAAGGCCAATTCCTAAGTTAAATATAAACACTTCAATAAAAATTTTGTTAGACATTTTCACAATAAAATGGCTCTGTAAATGCATAAAAATGCAAAAATTGTTTTGTTGGCTTGTCTACTATTTTCAAATGAAATTAGTGTGTGGAATAAGAATGGCTTTGACAATTTAGCTGGCAAAAGACACAAAAAATCGTTGATTATTTTGTATTTGAAGCAATTTGGAAATCGAAGTGGAATAGAATTTAACATTAGTAAATAATATAAAATAAATATTGAAAATTATAACGAGATAGTTACGGTTAATAGATATATTATATCTAAATAAATAGATGTTATATGTTTTTATCAAAGCAAGAATTGGCATTTAGAGGGCATATGGAATATATTGGATCTAATAACATAGGTAATTATATTGAACTTGTTTATTTATGAAGTATGTCAGATAAATAATTTATTAAAAATACATTTAAAGAAAGAATTAACTGATTGCCCCTGGAAGTCGGCTTCGTATAGAAACACAGCTTTCCTATCATCAAATGTCATGGCACACCACTGTCATCGAATGGTGCTCGCGTGCTTCCTGATAAATTATTTTTTTTTTGCGAAAAATTCGCTGAACTTTGGAGACATCATTAATTAATATAAATATAATTTTTATGGATGTTAAATAATAAATGGTTTTTAGTAGGTCTGCTGCTCGTTTAAACTCAATGGTTTGTACAATATCTGCTATTGGTCTAGATTCGACCAGTCCTGTTGGAACATGAGTCGGCGATGACATTTTACCGAATTTTAGGAGTTTTTTTAGTGTGTTTGTACGAATACTGTCACAATTTTTTTGCCGTCGTATAGAAATCCAAACTATGAACCCATGTTATAGGGGGGGGTCGACTGTACTGGCTTGTATTGATACTTTAAGATTGATACTTTTGTGGTATTGGGATGTCCATACACATGATACAGTAAGCTATAGATAAACGGTATTAAGGGCTCTTATAAAATAAGCATACATTCATTGCACTAGCATACAAGATGGATAAGAGAGCTAGAATACAACAGAGATTGTGCATTGATTTGGGATCAGCCATAAAAAGATAAGGAGAATGATCAACAAATGGAGGACAGAAGATAGATAAGAAGACATGACAAGCAGAATGAATATACAGTTGTGGTGTAAGTGTTGCAACGCGAAAGGAAAGCATGTACACGTTATAACCAATTAAAACAAATTTAATTTCGCAATAGAGATAAATATTTACAAGTTCTTTATGGATTCCCATTCTTTTTACAATTCCAATTATGTTTTGTGTTTGCAACGTAACAGTGATCCAGGTAGTTGGGTCCTGTCACAACTACCAACCCAACAATAGTACTTATCTAACGCATGCACACAAGTCTTAATCTAACTTAATTCTAATGTAAGATGGATAGATTGAAGGGGAAGTAAGAAGAGTTGATAGGACAGTGGGGTACCCAATTTCTCAGTGAAATTCTCTGTAGTTCCTTGTTTTGACTTGCCAAGTCTTGTATGTTCTTTTCTCTCAGGATTTGGCTTTTTCTGAGGGTTCACCTCCAGATCTATCTATGTGATTCAGTTTTTGATCCATTCTCTCAGACTCTCTTCCACAGCACTCAACGATTTCCCACTCGCAAGCCTTGCTGTTATACATCCGTCTTCTCTTGTGTCTGGCCAAAGAATGTCCACTCGAATTCAGATTTTTCCCTCCAGCCTTGTCACAGCATATTGTTTCACATCCTATCTCCTGGTGGGAAGAGGTGAGTCAGAATTCTTGGAAGTTCAAAAACAATGGAACAAAAGAGAGTGTAAAGAAGAATAGGTTTTAAGAAGTAGAATTATAAACTAAAATTAAAATTATACAAAAATAAGATGGCATACAGCCACAGTGGAATACATGGCACTCCCTCCACAACATCTACAGAGTAATCAGATTGCTGCTAACAAGAAAATCATATTTAAGAGGAACTCTTCTATACGCAAGATGCTAAGGAACAACAAAGAGGCTATTTACACAACATTCATTCCTATGTATACAGAATACCAGTAAAAGACAGCAGAAGGCATTATGCTTAACAACTTATGCTACATAGGAGCCACTAAAACAGAATAGAGGAACATTAAGATAACATCTGGGAGTTGTTGTCAGTTACAGCCTTAGTAGGCTATGCAGTAGCAGACCCAGGTTTCGTTATAGTAGAATGAAATCGAGCAGAAATAATCCAAAAGGTTCAGGAAAGGACAGATTAAATATGCAGAAGCAAGGCACGTTCATAAGGCTATTGTGGCGAACGCCGCCCTTCACATCTGTATCCTTAACAGTTGTAAAATACAAGCAATTACTCCCAGGTGTATGAGTCATCACTTCCTGGAATAAATTCGAACTCACCCCACAAAGACCGACAAAAGATAAAGACAACCACAACCCAAAAACCACATTGGTGAGCCGGATTAAGAACATAATCTGACTAAGAACTACCATTGGAATCTTCATCAGATACGCCGTTTTTCCTTTTCTCAAGACCTCAGTCATCAGATCATGGCCGAGATTGGAGCAGTAAAAATTCCTCCATACAACTTTTCCGACCCAGCTTTATGGTTCTACATGTGCGAAAGCACATTTGCGCTAGGATCTCCAAAGCCAATCACGGAAAATGCCACAAAGTTCAACTACGTAGTGGCCCATTTACCACCGGAAGTCGCATCAACGGTTAGAGACATTATTATTTCTCCAGACTGTACAGACCCATCCGGTGAATCGTCTCAACAGGAGTTACAAAAACTATTGGCCGGAGAACAGCTAGGAGATCGCAAACCCTCTGAACTACTACGTGTTCTAAAGCGTTGGGCGGAAAATTTTCAAATCCCGGAAACAGTTATACTAGAATTATTCATACAACACCTTCCGACTTCTGTCCAATCTATCCTAGTTGCCATTACCCCACTCGACGTAGACAAAGCAGCGGAGGTAGTGGACTGCATGGTGGAAGTAACCTCTGCAACGATAGCTTCAGTGTCGCATCCTGAGAAACCCGATACCGTAACCAACAAAATACTAGTCGAAATAGATAAACTTAACAAGCAAATCAATCAACTAACGCAAGCACGTCGGGATCGTAGTGACCATTTTTCTCGACGCTCCCGCAGCAGTTCAGGACATCGCAACAATTCAACTCACCGCAGTATCAACAACTACTGCTGGTACCACAACCGTTTTGGCGCAAAGGCACAAAAATGTACTCCTCCGTGTAGTTTTTCCAACAAACGAGAGCGGCGAAGCGTAGAGGCGACATGCACTTTGCCGGAACAATCTCGTCGCCTGTTCATCCTAGACAAGAGAACGAACATAAACTTTCTCGTCGACACAGGTTCCGACGTATCAATATTTCCAGCCTCCTCGTCTCAAAAGAAACGCGCATCTCAAATGACCTTGATGGCAGCAAACACAACTGCAATTCATGTCTACGACCAACGAACACTCACTCTCAATTTTGGGTTAAAATTTTTCGCTGGAAATTTCTTATTGGCAACGTGTCAACGGCAATAATAGGCGCAGATTTCTTGTATCATTTCCATTTGGTACCGAATCTTAGTTGCAAGTGTCTCACAGACACTTGTGTCTAAGATTCGGTACCAAATGGAAATGATAGGATAGTGGCTTATAATAATAATATTTAATGGTTGTATGTTATTTATTTTTACATTTATGTATTTTTACGCTTTAACTTTTATTTTAATTAGTTGCTACGTTATTGGTATTTATCTCTTTGAATTTGAATTTGGTGTTCTATTTTTTGTTATTCCAAATTCGAATGTTTAAACCTGAAGATGATCTATGGAGTAGATCGAAAACGTTAGTTTTTCAATAAAACTCCCTTGGCAAAAAATAAGGTGTTTGTTACTTGAATAATTATTTTGCCGAGTACGTTTCTGTTCAATGTCTCACAGACGTTCAGACAAAGGTGAACTCTCCAGGCAAATTATTAGAAACCTTCATCCACTCTATTAAGATAACGACCAACGACTTCATATATCATAAGATATTGGAAGAATTTCCTGAGATCACCAGACCTCCACGTCCTAATCAACCCGTAAAACACAACGTAGTACATCATATAGAAATGATTGGTCCTTGCGAAACCACATTGCCTAGCACCCGATAGACTTAAAATCGCTAAGGCCAAATTCAATAAGATGATAGCTCTCGCCCATATGCAAAAATCAAAAAGCAATTACGCATCACCATTCCACATGGTCACCAAGAAAAACAGTTCAGATTGGCGACCCGTGGGAGATTATCGTGCTCTAAACGCACAAACCATAAAGGACAGATACGGCGTTTCAAACATCGCAGATTTCACATCAGAACTGCACGGAACACAAATCTTTTCTCACATAGACTTAATCAAGGCCTATCATCAGATACCCATCTACCCACCGCACGTGCACAAAACAGCTATAATGACACCGTTTGGTCTTTTCGAGAGTACCAGGATGCAATTTGGATTGTGCAACTCATCTGCAACATTTCAACGGTTCATCGACGAAGTAACCAAAGGACTCTCCTTCACATATGCTTTTGTCAATGACATATTAATAGCGTAACGCTCCCAGGAAGAACACACCTTGCATCTTCGCGTCTTATTCCAACGTCTCCAGGAATATGGATTGACCATAAATCCGTCAAAATGTACCTTCGGTGTACCATCAATCGAATTTCTCGGTTTCAAGGTCTCAGAAAAGGGTCTATCACTCCCTGATAGAGTCAGAGCCATCCGAGAATTTCCCAAACCTTCGTCTCTCACTTAACTTAGATGATTCTTGGGTATAATAAATTTCTACAGGAGATGCATCCCTCGAGCAGCACACATCCTTGCCCCACTGGTGCAGCTACTAGAAGGAAAAAAGAACGGGAAACGTCGGAAAGCAGAATCACGATCTCTGCAATGGTCAGAAGTGGCAGAACAATCCTTTATATCAGCCAAGGAAGCACTGGCCAAAGCCACACTTCTCCACCATCCAGTACCCGGGGCTAAACTATGCATATGGGTAGATGCTTCAGACACAGCAGTTGGAGGAGTACTGATGCAATACAACAGGAAATGGGAACCCATCACTTTTATCTCAGCAAAACTAGCACCAAACCAATGCAACTGGTCAGCTTATGATAGAGAACTATTGGCAATATGCATGTCAATAAAACGATTTCGCCACATATTAGAAGGCCGTGAATTCACGATCTACACGGATCAAAAACCGCTTATATACGCCTTCAAACAAAAACCAGATAAAAGTTCACCACGACAAATGCGGCATCTCGATTTTATATCCCAATTCTCTACGGACATACGTCATATTCCGGGCACAGCCAACACAATAGCAGACGCTCTCTCCCGCATCAAGATAGATTCTATCACCTCTGCTTCCCCTCTAGACTTTCGAGAGCTAGCCACAACGCAAGCTACAGATTCGGAACTTCATCAATTGTTAAAGGATCCTATGTCACTCAAATTAAAGCTGAAATCCTTTCCACCTAACGAAATCAGCCTATACTGTGACACATCATCCGGAATACCTCGCCCCTTCGTGCCACATAATTTCCGATGAATCATATTCGATCACCTACATGAACTTTCTCATCCAGGAGCAACAGCAACCACTAAGCTAATTTCAAGCCGTTATGTTTGGCCGGGCATGCGGAAGGACATCCGTCAGTGGGCATGACATTGCATCCCCTGCCAGAAATCGAAAATTCACCGCCATGCCTGGACACCAATAGGAAAGTTTACACTTCTGGAAGCAAGATTTTCCCATCTTCACATGGATCTGATAGGACCACTTCCGCCAGCTGACGGGAAACACTACTGCCTTACAGTGATCGACCATTTTACCAGATGGCCAGAGGTCATCCCAATTGCTGACATATCTGCTGAGATGGTATGCAGAGTCTTTTTCTCAGGTTGGATCGCAAGATTCGGATGCCCTACTACCATCACCACTGATCAACGATGCCAGTTCGAATCAAACCTATTCTGAGAACTGACCAGACTTCTCGGCACCAATCGCATCCATTCAGCAGCATAGCATCCCCGATCAAACGGTTTAATAGAACGATTACATAGACACCTTAAGGCATCGCTAATGTCACACAAATCCTCCAAATGGACAGACGCCCTTCCGGTAGTCCTCCTGGGAATTCATTCAGCAATTAAAGCCGATATAGGCACAACAGCAACCGAACTGTTATATGGTACCTCGTTAAAATTACCAGCTGACATCATTAGCCCCGACACCCCATGAGTTCCTTGCAAATCATTTGTCAGTCAACTAAAAACCCACATGGCCAATCTGAAACTGTTAGTAACTTCCGCTCATTGCGCACAGAAAATTTTCATTCATCCAGAGCTAAAGGAGTGTACACATGTTTTCTTAAGATTCGATGCAAATCGACCTCCTCTCCGCCAGCCTTACTCGGGCCCATACAAAGTGCTAGAAAAACACGACAAAACACTAGTAATTGACATCCAAGGTCGCAAATCAACCGTCTCCATTGACAGAGTAAAACCAGCGTATATCTTACAGGACGAATCACCCCAGGAATCCATTATCAAACCCATCCAGTCAAGTCTATCGCAGAAACCACTGTCATCAGCAACAGCGAACAACAAAAAACTAGAAACTACCTCTAAAGAAGATCAAACCGTCACGATTAGGTCAGGCCGTCATGTTCATTTTCCTAAAAGACTAGTCACCATAATGTAACGTTAAGCGACTCGTTCAACATCAATTCTATCGATAGTCCCTCACTGGGGGGATACTCTGTGGCGAATGCTGCCCTTCACATCTGTACCCTTAACAGTTGTAAAATACAAGCAATTACCCCCGGGTGTATGAGTCATCACTTCCTGGAATAAATTCGAACTCACCCCACAAAGACCGACGAAAGATAAAGACAACCACAACCCAAAAACTACACTATCAAAGAGGACAAGCAGTAAATATAGAGAAAACACTATGATTTCATCAGCCTGGAACATATTGCTTGATAAAAGCATGAAAAAGAGCTAATTAAGAGGCTACTGCAGGATGGATAGATTACATGGCAGTGATTACTTTGATAGTATGGAGATTATAAGTACTAGAATAAAGTTTGTAAAGTATAATTTAGTCTTTAGTTCAGTCCTGTGTCTGTTGCCTTGTTTATGTCATATTGTATATGTCACAGCTGGATTGTTAATTTAGTTATTTTACAAAGTGCCTAGCCATTTGATTAAATGGCACTGTTTTGTAATCAAGCTAACTAACATTCAATCACTTTACAAAGTGGCTAAATCAAATCCTGCCAGATTGAATGACATTCCATGTTTTATAATATGGCTGGTCAAACAATTGTCTGCTTTACAATGCAGCATTTTCTTTGATTTTCTTCCAGTAGTTCTAAATTATTTAATTAAAATTATAATTATTAAATTTAGCAAGAGATGACTCCTAATGCCTAACTCTAATGCCAAATTATCAATTCATATGTACAATACTTCTAAGAATGTTAAAATTTAAATTTAAAAGAATTGTACTGTATGAATATTTGATCTTGAAGGTGGCTACTCAGATAGCCAAAAATTTTTGATAAATAAAAAATTATTTCTGGAACAAGCTAGAATTCTAGATTTATACTTTACTCCAGTTTAAGAAACTTATTAAATTAACCAATGTATTATGAAGACTCTCACATAAACGTCAAATTTCCAGCAAAACACCCAAATTCAACATTCAAACGTTTTCAGCTACTCGTTAATCGGCCTTCATCAGGAAAAGTCAAAACAAAAATAATTGTTCTATTTATAGAATGAAGCCCTAAATCATTTTCATTTCAAAATATAAAATAATATATTTTTAAACATTAATGTTCAGCAGGATGTTAAACATTAATGTTCAGCATTAATGTTTTTTGTAGGGAAATCATTCATTATATGATACATAAATTTGATTCTCACACGGTTTGGATTCATACTTAGCTAATAGATATAACATGCTTTCTTATATGGTGCATCACACAAGAGACTCATTGTGCTAAGACCTGATAACAGTTGGAGAGGAATTCTGTTGGACATACCATTTTATATTTTAAAATGAAGATTTAGGGCTCTGTATTACGCTTCTTGTCTAGTCTTGTATTCAATTTTACGAGCTTTATGGTGGCTTTTCTTTTCCTCTAGACTTATTACACATAAATTAGAAACAGGACAATCTTTAAAATATCACATTTTTATTTCCTAGAGTATGCATTTTGGACTTCAAGTCCTTTTTCAACTCTTTGTGATGTAACTGTTTAGGAAATAATGTATACAAGTTAACATAATGCAAAAATGCAGTGCAAAAATTTTATGTTAACTAGTATGCTTTATTTCCTAAACAGTTACATCACAAAGAGTTGAAAAGGGACCCGAAGTCTGAAATGCATACTCTAGGAAATAAAAATGTGATTTTTCTAAAGATTATCCTGTTTCTAATTGATGGTGTAATAAGTCTAGTGGAAAAGAAAAGCCATCA